TATCATCTGTTAAGACAAAATTTAGTTAGACATCAATAGTTGCTAGGATATTCTATTAATTTTAATTGTGTTTTTTAAACATTGTGATTGATCGTAAAATAAAAAGTATAAAGTGTAATTGAAACCACTAATTGATTCCACTAATTGCGACGTTCTGAATGAAGCTGTAGAATGCAACTGTCGTATGCCTTTTTCTTTAGGTTGATGGGCACATTTTTATCTTTGAAAATATCACTCATATTTCCGAATGCCACCCATACCAAATGGATCCTGCGTTTAATCTCCGTATTTTGGTTCTCTTTACCCAGCTTGAATTTATGATCTATAATAATATAATGATCTACGTTTTCAATAACAACGTTGTCTACGGTAATGTTATGGCTATTGTTGTTCATTATCTAGGTCTTATGTAAGTTCATTTTAAGGCCTATTTTCTAGGATTGATCCTATGGATTGATCATTTAGCTCCTTTAGCATGGTGTTCAGTTCTTGAATGCCGATGCTTAGCAAAAATATGTCGTTTGCGAATCTAAGATGTCTTATGTGACCATCTTCAGTAGATTAAAATTCATTCATGATATGATTGGTGAATTGTGTGTTCAGAATTCATTATTAAGTGTTTTGCTGTAGTGCGGTAGAGTAGTTTTAATTCGGAAAAAATAGAGTAGTCTAAATTGAGGTAAAGAGATTTAATGAAATTTACCTATGATTGTACATATTTTAGGTAATTTACGAACGCTGATAATATATAAGTAAAGTTTTAAATATCATATTCATTTTAGTTCATTCGTAGATTTGTCCATCCTACGTTGTCGTACCAGAATTCACGCTGCTCTCGCGCACCAGTTCTTCTGGGCTGGATCATTGTAGTATTATTGTTTCACCCAGTTTAGCGACACCCAATTTGTATCGGTCACAGTAAAATCGGCCATTAAAACACATCTCATTAAACATACCTCGAAACACTAAGTATAGAAAAGCAAATAGTTAGCGGTTGTTAATGTAAAACGTAATGGTGGTTTTAGTATGGTATTTTCGGACACTGTGTCTAGATCTAGGACCTTAGTGGTAACAAAATAGAAACTAGCTTTGGAAGATGTATTTTTGGCTTTTTGTTGTGATCATATATCTTGTCTGTTTTTTGTGTAACGCGTTCCGATGTTTCTCAGTCGAAATATCTTTTTTGATTTTTGAGCAAGCAGCACTCGATTTTTGACAAATGTTTTTTGCATGCATAGCTGCATTTTTGTTTGAATTTTGTACGTAGCAGTGCGATGATGTGTTTTTAGAAATGTTTTGCATGTCTTGTACATATTTTTTGAAATAATTTTTTGGTATCTATTTATAGATATCTGTTTATATGAAAGGTTATTTTCTTCAGAATTATACTGAATACGTTAATAAGCCCTTTTTTGACTGTCAATATTGTCACTTTGTCTAATAGTAAACAATAATATTTAATACTCTTCAGATTTAAATTATATACTAAATATTTTTTTTCTTAAAAACATTATTAAAAATATTTTGTACAGAATTATCATCAGGCAACTAAATATCCAATACGGATATAGTATACAGGGTGGTCCGAACTGTATTCCGGAAACTTTGGCACTAAATTCTGTACATAAAAATAAGTAAAAAAAATCGTCTAAACTTATGTCCTGAAATACTTAGTTTCGGAGATACAGGGTGTAGAAGTTTCATTTCTATTTCGATTTTTTCCTAATAATTATTTCTGAACTGAATTCTGTATTAGGAAAAAAAAGGAACTGGGTTTTTTTACATGAGAAATTTAATTTCGATGTCAACATGACTCCTACTTGTAGGGAGCGCCACTGACATGTTTTTTAACTGTTTTGAAGAGTAATAACTTTTCGTCTGTCCCTATATTACAAACTACTGAGTAAAAAATATACATCTCCGTCATTTTTTACTTAAAAAAGTTATCTTGGTAAAAATCGCTATGAGTAATGGTTCTCTATAAGATATTTGGAATCGAAATAAAATCAATACATGTCAAAATTGACAAAAAATTATACAGGGTGGCGCCTCTCATACGCCGCGGAAGCTCCAAGGAGAACGGTAGTTTATATCGAAATAAAATTTTGGCAGTATATGTAGGTTATCTGAAAGCATTTTATAAAAATATATAGAATTATACAGAGTGTCCCCAAAAAAAGGTATACATCAAAGTTGTGTTTTTTCTAATGGAACACCCTATATATTAATTGATTTTCGGATTCTAGGAAAAAAATAAAGGTGAATTTTATTAAAGAACCATATACCTAAAATCTATGGATTTTGACATATTTCACATTTTGTGATAATGAAGAGTAAATTTTAAATTTCGATAACAGCTACCTAAATTTTAGTTGACCTTATATAGCCTGATATTCAATTACAGTAACCATTGTAGGTTAAACCAAGGTTAAACCAAATTGAATTTTGCCCCGAAAAGTTATACAGGCTGAGACAAAATTAATATGGAACATTAGTCACTTTTAAAAGCAAGTTACTCCTTTATTTTAAATGGAACACCCAGTATATTATTCCGGTGTTCAATGGGGAATGTACATATCTTCAAAATATTATTAAGGTTGCCTACCTCTCAGACAAAGATTTTCCTAGATATTTGAATTTTCATGATTTTGCGTCAGTAGATCTTTATTATTTGAAAAAATCTAGGGTGGCTGTGATTTACATTTTGTTAATTTAACAAAAATTAAAGATTGTAGAGTAAAATACTCAACGGTAATAAAAAGATACACGTTTATTACATATTTTATTTATTACACAATTAAAACTAGATATAAACCTATAATTATGTGACAAAAATTAGCTAGATGAAATCAAATGCTCAAAATGCTTCCTTTCCTGTTAACTGCACAAAATGATTGTCTTTTCAAAAGGATCTTTTCATTTTAAAAGGCATATGTGGAGTTCTACCTCAAAAGCAGCTACAATAATTTCTCTCATGTTGTCGACAATAGTTGGTCGAGTTTTTTAAACACTGTCTTTAACATATCTCCGTAAAACAGCAAACTAGACAAAATTAGGACATGTAAGTATTCTATTAATTGGTGAATGCACACTGCATTCACCAACTAATAGAAGCATATCACTTCTCTCTGATGTAGGATAAGTTTGCATTTTCGGCAAATTTCTGAGAAATTTTTTTGTTTTAACTGATACAGAATGATAACTAGTTGTTAAATTTGGACTAATTAGACAGCTATGTTGCCAGCCATATGACAGCCACCTAGATTTTATCAAATAATAATGATCTGCTCAGATCAAATCATGTAAATGAAAATATCTAGGAAAATCTTTGTTTGAGGGGTAGGCAACCTTAATATTATTTTGAAGAGACACGAATTCTCCATTGAATATTGGAATAATATACTGGGTGTTCTATTTAAAATAAAAGAGTAACATGCTTTTAAAGGTGACCAATGTACAATATTAATTTTGTCTCACCCTGTATAACTTTTTGGATCAAGTTTTAATTTGATTTAAAGTAAAATAGTTAATTTAACTACATATTAGGCTATACATGTAGCTTTCATTGTAATTTAAAAATTGTTCTTTATTTCTAGAAAATGTTAAATATGTCAAAAACCTTACATTTTAGTCATATGTCTTATAATACTCACCCTTATTTTTCTCCCAGAATCCGAAAATCAATTAATATATAGGGTGTTCCATTACAAAAAACACAACTTTGATATGTAACTTTTTTTGGGGGCACCCTGTAGAACTCTCTATAACTTTAAAAAGTGCTCTGAATTAACTTACATATACTCACAAAATTTCATTTTAATACAAACTGTCGTTCTCCTTAGAGCTTCTGCGGCGTATGAGAGGCGCCATCGCCACCCTGTACATGTTGACTGTATAGTTATTAATCTTAAATAATAAATTTGAAATATTTTGGTGCTAAATATTCAACAGAACCTGTTTAATCTTTTTTTTTCTATATAAATTTATGATTAGCTTAAAAAACTAAAAAGTTCCCAAATTTATCTTTTCAGTCAACATCAACATGTTTATTTTTTGACAATAATGACATGTATTGATTATTAAGAATCCAAATATCTCGAGAACGGTTGCTTGCAGCAATTTTTATCAAGAGACAATCACAAATGTATATTTTTCAGTCAGCAGTGTAATACAGGGACGGACGAAAAGTTATTACTCTTCAAAACAGTTAAAAAGATGTAGGCGGCGCCCCCTACAATTAGGAGTCATATTGACATCGAAATCAAATCTCTCATGTTAAAAAAACCCCAGACACCAATTTTCATCACAATATCGACATTAGTTCAGAAATTATCTGAAAAAAAAACTTGAAACAAAAATGAAACTTACTACACCCTCCATCTTCGAAATGAAGCATTTTAGGACTTAAGTTTACGAACTTTTTTACTTATTTTTATGTACAGAATATGCTGCCGAAGTTTCCTGAATATAGTTCGAATCACCCTGTATAGAAATACAAAAAAATAACATATCAACACTGCCAAAATATTAACAATGTCATGGCAAATACAAAAATACTAAGCAAAATAAAAAGTGCCTTATATGACAAAGAATTAAAATGAGGATAAGACAAACAAAATACCTAATCTCTCAAAAAATAGTATACTTAGTGCAATAATTTTTCCTTAGTATTTCACAAATGAATTAAAAAAATATAATTTTAGGCTACTAGAAACCAAATATTCAGTTTTTTTCGTTTATAGTTCTTATTTATAAAAATAGTTCCCAAGTTTTTCTTTGTAATAAATTGAGAAATATGAATATTTATGTGCTTTAATTATTTGCAAAAAATTAATTGATATTGTGTTCTGTCTCTGGTATACATACCTTAATAAAAATATAATTAATAAAAGCCATGATTAAACTCTACTAACTAAATTTTAATATTTAAATTCAGATACTCTACACAGGGCCTCTTCTCAAATTGCCAGATTTTCCATATTGCTTTGTATATGTTTTAGGCACAATCCGATATCGAATGGAAATTTGGTCTCAGCAAGCTCATTCGCAACATGCATCGAACCACCACAGCTCCTTCACCAATAAATCTTATAACCACATGGTTATTCTACCTGGTTGACATATGCAAAAAAAGAGGTAGTATTCTGTCCCCTAGTCTAGTACTGTCTTTTCTAAACCTCCGAAACATTAGATTTTATTTTAGTCAAAACGAAAAAACGCCAGAGCTTGGTGCATCTCATGGGCAGCTTCCAACGCACCACCCAACTGAGTCCCAGGTCGAAGGCCGGTGCCAAATGGCTGTCGAAGGTGAAAAAAGGCCGCCAAATCGCTCCCAAGGAGAGTATGGGCTTGTCCATAGGCCAAATGAGCCCGCTAGGGTCTCAGCTCAGTTTCTCTGCTGTTACTACTAGAATTGAGCACGTAACCGATTGGGAAGCGATCGCTAAGAAATACAGGGCCCTAATGGGTCAAGAGGATGAAGTTAAAGATTCGTCCAAAGAAGATGAGGAGGAGGACGATGAGGAAGCGGCGCCAAATCCAGCTCCGCACCTAGCACCTAGTTCCTCTATCGGTTAAGATTGTATCTAATTTAATTTATTTGTTGTAGAATATTTTCCAACCCGACGAATCATGATTTCACAGCACAATACCTACAATTATTAGAGTGCTTCCATAAGTCATTGTGTATATACCGACCTACCTAGACCTATTTTTAAATAAATTTGTAATTGAATAAACATACCGTTTAATAAAACTCCAATTAAAAAAATAATATACTTTATTTTCCACCAAATCATCTGTACGTCCAACTGCAAGAACGTATCTTCTTTGTTAGTGGTTCCATCATAACTCTTGTTACATCTTTGGTTACTTCATCTGAGCTAAATCTTCTTTGGTGAAATAAACATCTTTCAGTAACAATGTTATAATTAAATATAGTCACAAAATATACAATTAAACTTTCCAATATTTATCCATTCTACGAAGTATATAGTCGATCTAGCGTGGCTGCAAAAAGCTTTAAAAAAAAAGGGAAATTTCACAGCTCCTTCGCCAATAAATCTCATAACCACATGGTTATTCTACCTGGTCGACATATGCAAAAAAAGAGATAGTATTCTGTCCCCTAGTCTAGTACTATCTTTTCTAAACCTCCGAAACATTAGATTTTATTTTAGTCAAAACGAAAAAACACCAGAGCTTGGTGCATCTCATGGACAGCTTCCAACGCACCACCCAATTTGGTCGAAGGCCGGTCCCAAATGGCTGTCGAAGGTGAAAAAAGGGCGTCAAATCGCTCCCAAGGAGAGTATGGGCTTGTCCATAGGTCAAATGAGTCCGCTAGGGTCTCAGCTCAGTTTCTCTGCCGTTACTACTAGAATTGAGCACGTAACCGACTGGGAAGCAATCGCTAAAAATACAGGGCTCTTATGGGTCAAGAGGATGAAGTTAAAGACTCGTCCAAAGAAGATGAGGAGGAGGACGACGAGGAAGCGGTGCCAAATCCAGCTCCTCACCTAGCACCTAGTTCCTCTATCGGTTAAGATTGTATCTAATTTTATTTATTTGTTGTAGAATATTTTCCAATCCGACGAATCATGATTTCACGGCACAATACCCACAATTAGAGTACTTCCATAAGTCATTGTGTATATACCGACCTCTCTAGACCTATTTTTAAATAAATTTGTAATTGAATAAACATTCCGTTTAATAAAACTCCAATTAAAAAAATAATATGCTTTATTTTCTACTAAACCATCTGTACGTGCTACTGCAAGAACGGCTCTTCTTTGTTAGTGGTTGCATAACAAACTCCTGTAACATCTTTGGTTACTTCATCTGAGCTAAATGATACTGTTCTTTGGTGGAATAAACATCTTTCAGTAATAATGTTATAAGTTAAATATAGAGTCACAAAATATACAATTAAACTTTCCAATATTTATCCATTCTGCGAAGTATACAGTCGATCTAGCATGGCTGCAAAAAGCTTTAAAAGAGAGAAATTCAATATAATAGAATAATTGATAAGTTTTTAAATTTTTACATGTTGTCAGCATCTCTCCTAAAGATTTGGGAGTTAAGTCACTTAGACAACCGGGTTGGACTCTTCTGCCTCTATTAACATATATATCAAGGGTACCTATAGGACTTTCATAACCATAGAATCCTAAAATTATAAAGGTCTAATTATATCTAAACAATCTTCACTTTAATTCCTATCAAATTTATAGGTATATGGTATAATATTCAAAATTAATCAAAAATTTTGCTAACATTTTGAGAACCACTGGATATCTTCAGTTTTTCGTTCCTCTAAATTTAATCTGCTACCTATGTATATCAAAAATTTAAAAAATTGTAAATAATTTTCGAAAAATTCATTTTTTTTGTGTAAAGAACCTCGTAGACGTGTTCCTGGGATTGAAATAGACGACCACTAAAATATTTGCACTTATTTAAGACTTAGTATAGTTCTAGAAACTCGTATAGTTCTAGAAATTTTGAAAATTCCTCTATTGGTTATGCTCACCTACTCAACGGCATAGAACAGTTATTTAACAGCTAAATATATAAGCAATTCAGCTCTAAGTTTTTTAAGGCTAAATTTGTCGATGTCGGTAAACAAGGCAACGTTATTAATATATTCGGTATGTCAACTAATTTAACCAAAACTGTTTAGCAAACTGATAAAACTGTTAAATAATAATCATTACCCGCATCTGTATGAATTGCATCTACAATCTCTGCATCATTTTTATCTAGCCGATCTTTCGATGAAATCAGGGGGTCTCTGAAATAATATAAAATACTATTACGTTTAATAAGTTAGTCATTTTACCTAAAGTAGGGACCTGCAGGATCTAATCCGCTAATTCGTGCCAGTTTTAGACCAGACTTTTCCAAAATTCCTTTACCAACGATCCCAGCTACATGTGCTCCGAGAGAATGTCCTATGACATGTATTTTTTCTGCAGATAAGTTCATATCTGCGATAAATTTTACTATTTCATCACCTGAATTATAATGTCCATTTAATAGTTAATTTAATAGGTAAATCATGAATTTTACCAACAAATTTAAGGTTCTTGGCTGAACTTATGTAAGGCAATCTGGCAATATTTTCCCAGTCAACTTCGATGAAGTTTATATCATTTATTTTTAAATATTCATCTGCTATAGTCTTATACCAGGATCTAAAACAATATGAAGCAGAAGCCGTAAACTGAATTAATTTAACTTTAATGTTTTATCAGAAAACATTCGACAAATGTGTACTACCAGTCATGACCTATGCATGCGAAATCTGGACTCTTAAAACGGACATTATAAGAAAAACTGCAGGTCGCACAACGCTCAATGGATCGAAATATGCTGTGAATAAACAAGAAAGACCGTAAAAAACAGAGTGGATACGACAACAGACTTTAGATAGATGTCATAATAATTAACAATAGATGTCATCCACCTTTGAATAAAAAGACTAAGGAGCATATCAAAAATCTAAGGTACACCGCGATGGGCCTCAAATATGGCCGAATTAAATTCCGGTTTATCAGTGTCGTTCTAATTTTATTTAAAAAATGTAAAACTATGATCTAGTAGGGTAGACTCAATAATTTGTTGTTTTATTTTACGTTGTGAATAAATGTTGGTAGTTATTAAAACTGTTATAAAAATATATAATTCTAATAAAAATAGATAAGTTATAATAAGTATTTATTAACACAAACATCCGATACACTACTGAAGCAGGTAAGTCAAATTAACGTATCTAAATTCTTTGACATCTAATCTTTGACAAGTAATAAATAAAAGCTATAATGCCAGAAAAATATATAATTTAGTTAATTTAAGTGAATTTCATAAAAGATCGGTTTACTACACGTATGTATATCATATAGTCACTTACTAGCGAAAAGTTGTTCCATTATTTCACTCAACTTTTGCCGAGATCTACCGCACGCTACACAGCCAACTATTTCAGAGTCTTTTTCGATAAATCGCGATAGTGTCACTGTTAATTTAAGTTCTGCCACAATTTCCATCTAGATTTAATACCTTTATACAACTATCAGTAGTAGAATAAATAATAAATAACATAAAATAAGCTCCGTAAAGACTGACAAATCCACAAAATTTCAAATCAAATTTAAATGTGTCAATGAATCGTCAAACAGAAGTGTCAAGGATCCCCACCCTAGAGAGCTTTTTCCGCCCACCATGCATGAATACATGGATAGTATTATGCTCCTTCCTTAGTCTTCTTATTCAAAGTCATCCACAGAATCAAATCCCTCAAGTGGCAATGGGCAGGACACTTGTCAAGAAGAACAGGCAACAGATGGACCACAAAAATTACAGCATCGTACACACGAGGAATAAAGAGACCTAGAGGAAGACCAAACTTGAGATAGGACCATGATATTAGGAATTTGGCAGGGATAACTTGCGCCTGCGTCGCCAACAATAGACAACAATGGGGGTATCTAAACATGTGACGGAGGCTACACCATAATTGAAAATGGTTGACTAAGCTGAGGATGATAATGAATGTTTTATACCTTCTATGGTTTTCTATCCATCCATGTATAATAATTTTAGTATCTTTATCAGGACTAACCAAGTCTGTGTTGTCAGATGTCAGCAAAACAGGTACACCTTCTAGATCGGCAACAATATAAAATTGTACATCTGATGTTGATGCTTCGTAAGGTCTAACTTGTGATATGTCTTGTCCTAATTTAATAAGCTCAGTTATGTTTAAATCTTTGAGATCTTCGCATAGTCCTAAAACAAGTTTTTCATATAAAGACCGAGTATTAAGAATTAAGTATAAAAACTTATTTCTAAAAGTTATCATAATATTGGCATAAATTATATGTTATGTGGTATGTGTTACTGAGTGAGGTTTAGGAGTTATATGAGTATTTTTACCCTGAAATATATTAACCAGATATTTCTAAGAAAGTAATTGTCTCCCTGCAGAGCGTAATAATTGAAGAAATCATCGAGTTTAACGTATCAGTCATCCTTTGCTTCCCAGCTTACTTTAAGGCATTTGACAATCAAGTGAAACCTTCTATAGCTGATGTTGAAGAAGAACTAGGGGTTGCAAAACATCTAATATTTCGTATAAAAAGTTTGTTTGATCAGAATATAGCCTATGTGCGAGTGAGTGATCAACCTAGAGAGTTGAGCAAAATCTGCCTGATATTTGCGCAAAATCTGCCTGATACTGCCTGATATTTATTGATAAGGCTGAGATATTCTCTCGACGGTTTAATTTAATACCGGACATAAAAAAAAAGACAATATACGTGGGTTGCATTCAAACAAAGGGGAAAGAGAAAGAAAATTAAACGTGACACAACTAACCAAGATTTGTAAAGAAAATAATATGTATCTAAAAATAGGCAAAACAAAAACCGGTACAAAAACTAACATTGTAACATAACTTTATATGGTATTTGCCATAAAATTTGGTGGCAGCGGTGGGATTCTATAAACAAAGAGATCTAAAAAGGGTTCCTTTATTTTAACCAGCGATTGCAAATTTTAAGATAAAATCTCCATTTAAGGACAAACACATGTACAACCTCTAAACTATACTAGGTTCATGACTTTTTTCAGATCTCTCTCTCTATAATTTTTGCCAATTAAACCTACCAATATAAATCATATATATCAATATAGAAGAAGTAATAGATCTAAAGTAATACGAATTTTAGAGGACAAGGAATCTTGGAGAAAATTATTCGCACGATAAATACACATTTTGGGTCACGATGGCGACGTTCGAAATCAAACTAATGATAAAAAAGAATAAGGTATTAAGGTAAGTTTCTATTTATCGATCTATTTGGTGTTGGTCCTTAGTTATGGACTGGTTCAGGGCCATGTAAGTGAAATATTAAAAATGGTTCCAGCAAAAGTTTCCCAATTATGACGGATGATGGCGCTGATCGTACAAAATTTTTGGACAGGGATTTTGCTTACCGACAATACGACGTGAGCTACGACCGGACCAGGACCAATCAGAATGATCGGTCTTTCTTGGACATTTGCCGCGGAAGTGTGTGTTAATTTCTGTTGTGATAAGTGTGGTTGTGTTTGCAGTTTGATTTTTCGGTTTTGATATTATGTTAAAATTAATTTTGAAGTATTGTATCACCTGTTTTTATGTAATAGTACATTTTTTAGTTCTATGATCTGATATGTTATGATTTGTTAATGTTTGTTTAACAATGTTATACCAAAGAGGTTATACTTAATATACTTATCAATTTGCATATCCTAACTTTTTTATCAATAAACTTTGTAGATTTTCAGATTATTTAATTCCTTTTGTTTCCGTTTGTAATTTTATTTTTAAGACATATTATGTGATTGTTTCACATTATATGTTTTAAAATAAAATTACAAATAAGCGAATAAAAATAATTAAAATAAAAAAGTGTATTTTACAATTCCCCCGGCCCCGCACCCCTTTGGCTAACCTATAATGTCAGCTATGTCGAGAGATGGCGTTACGAAAATGGAACCGATTTATTACAAGGAACTTGGGCTTCTTTTTCGTTAGTATATTCTGTGGACTGGTTGTAGGTGTGGGGCCTTGCAACAGGGGAAGCATTGAAACCAATTGAAGTAATTCAAAAAACTATAATTTAGATAATTGTATTTACAGATAGAAGATATCCTAGAGCAATGTTAAAACTTCAGATTGTGAATTCCAAGTATTCATTATAGAGGTACCCAAAATTTTTATTTTTATTGAAGAAAAATGAAAAAAACACATATAGAATGAATACCAAATTTAAGACTAAATAATTAAATAATATCAGGACGTAAAATAAAGATATTTTAAAATATTAGAAGTTACAATCATGTAGTTTTATATTATATTAGAAATAAATGTAATATTAATAATAATAAGTAATGTATTATATTAGAATTAAATGTAATTTTACTTTTAGTTACAAGTCATAAGATTATCGCTAGAAAACTACCAATAATTGTAAATCTCACTTATGACCAAGAAAAATAATAATTAAATTAATTACTATCTATTTTATTTACACTGTAGTACAGCTATATTTATGAGTATAAAACTATTCTTACCACAAGACAGCGCAACCAATAATACATATTTTCTTAGCAACATTATTGAAAGAATAATTAATTAAACAGAATAACACTGCAAGAGTTAAATAAACAAATGTTTGAAAAGCTACAGTTCAATGAAAAGAACAAACGTCATATGCAATACCTAACTTGCGGTTACAAAAAGTATAGGTAGTAATTATTTAATAAAAGTAAAGATAATGGTAAAAATAAGAGCGACAAAGTATAGTCATTATCCAGTTATAAAAAATAACTTTACGTTAAGTATCGTTTTCATGTAAAATAAGTAAGAAATTGCTAATAAATACTTATAAATTAGAATATTTTTCTATTTTATTTAATGATTTGTAATTTACTAAATTGTTGTTTTGTTATTTGTAAATTACGATAATTTATTAATGATATTTACTTAAATATTACTATTCAACAAAAACCCAAGGAAGTATATGTATTTCAGGGTAATGTATAAATATACAGAAGTATACATTTTATTATACAGGGTGAGTCTTAAATAAATGCAAAAATTTTTAGGGGTAGAATATTTTGACCCCAGAAACACAATTATGAGTTTTTTTCCCGAAAATAGTTTTGAAAATTCGGAATTTTTGGAAAAATTATTTGGATTGTTTTCAGTTTTTAGTTTTTTTACATGTCCTACACAATGTAAAGAATAAATGCAAAAATATGGAGGGAATGTTGGTGTTTGCTTCCAGTAAAATAAAATAATATTCTTGTCTTTAAAATTACAACTCAATGTACTCAATTTTTCATATAACATTTCCGTTTAGGGTTTCCCTGCAAAGTTCTGCACTCTCTGTTTCCCTGCGAGATCGAAATATAGCACCCCTAAGAATATTTGCACATATTTAAGACTCACCTTGTATATACATTTGACTTTTGCACAAACACGTGCGCCAAAAAAAGAATGAAATGTGACAGGCACGAATTGAGGGTGTTTGGAAATTGCGGAATAAGATTTTTTCTAAAAAAACTATATACCTATTGTATGTAACTGCTTAGGCTCCGCGCGCACTGAATAAGTATCGGCGAGAGCGAGCGGTACGAGCGGCGCGAGCGGCACGACCGGTCGGAAAGTTGATTGTAGCCGCGCACTGGAGTCGCACGATCGACGGTCGAGAGTACGTCACCAGCATAAATTTGAGCATAGACGAGGAGGGGTTTATTCAAATTTAGTCAAATTCATTCGGCATTTCAAAAAATTATAAAGTATTATTACTATTTATATTTTTATGCAACTTTTTATATTTTATGCTTTATGATGGAAATTGATATTATTTAGATCTTAACCAAACACACATTAATATATTTAGATCTTAACAAACCACATAAAATTAGTGAAATAGAGTGGAAGATGGGGATAAAATATACTACATGACTCTTAGCTTAACCGATTTTAACAAATTTGGTATAACTCAAAAGGGTTTAAGTTGTTCTTTAAAAACAAAGCTAGATATGAAAAATAGTCAAATAAAACTTCTATTTTTAGTTTTTTTAATCTAAATAAGTGTCATTACAAACATTTATATATAGTTTTATTTTAAGTTTTTAAAATTTTGTTTTTAAGTCAGTAGTAAATAAAACGAAACTTGTGTTTACATTTTGTTTAATGATTGACGTTTCGACTAATTTAATTCGGTCTTCTTCAGAATCTATAATATACGTATAAATAATTTTCTACGTTTGTGGTAAGAAAAAATTATATATTAAACACATTGTTAGTGATAAAATTGTATTGTATATTATAGATTCTAAAGAAGACCGAATTAAAATTAGTCGAAACGTCAATCATTACACAAAATGTAAACACAAGTTTCATTTTATTCACTACTGACTTAAAACCAAGATTTTAAAAACTTAAAATATAATAAAAAAGTCAAAGAAAATTGAAAAAAGAAAAAATATAAATAGTTTTAAGAATTTTGGTTTTTCGGGTTATTAGGCCGTCGTCGGTTAGAATTGCTTCCTAACGTTTCGCTAGCACGAGTGGCTAGCATCTTCAGAGGTGTGTTTGCTCCGATTGCTCACACTAGACTGATGCCTCCGCGTCGGCGTAGCGCGTATTTATGCGTCGGCGGAGGGGGGCGTGGCTTGTTCGGGTGGTAGTTCTTCCGGAACTGGTCTACTTCTCTGTGCTGCTACTTTGGTCCTAGATATAGCTGGATGCCAAATTCTGTTAAGGTAGAAAGTTTCTTCCTTCCTGTTGAAATTATTTGGATGTTTGTGAATTTCAACAGCTTCCCCTGACCAGACGAGGATGATATCCAGATGTTGTGGCAATGACTTGTGTGTCTTCGAATTGGATTTGTGGTCACCATCTCTTAGAGCATGTTCTGCTACGGCTGACTTCTCTGTTTGCCCTAATCTGCAGTTTCTCTTGTGTTCCGTAAGTCTCGTTCCTACTGAGCGTTTGGTAGTTCCAATATATACGCTACCGCAGGAACAAGGTATACGGTAGATCCCTGCAGAGGATAATGGTTCTCTTTGTCTTTTGCTGGTCTTAAGCAGTCCCTTTATTTTTCGGGTAGGTTTGTATATGGTTTTGATGTTATGCTTCTTGAGAACTTTACCAATCCTATCGGTGACCTGGGAAACATATGGAAGGAAGGCCTTATTAATGATGTTTTCCTGTTCATTGGCGTCAGGTCTGCTCTGCCTAGGTGCCAGCGCCGCCTTTATTTCTCTGTCATTATAGCCATTGGCAAGAAAGGCTTTATTTAAATGACTTAGTTCCTCTTGGATGTGTTCATTAGCACAGATACGTCTTGCCCTATTTGCTAATGTTCCGATAATCCCCTGTTTTTGGCTTGGATGGTGATTTGATAGTTTGTGTAAGTACCGGTCTGTATGAGTGGGTTTCGATACACGGTGTGATCCAAAAGGTCGCCATTTCTCTTGACAAGCACATCGAGGAAGGCCAGTTGGTTTGTTTACTTCGGTTTCCATGGTAAATTTTATGCTCGGGCTCTGCGAATTAAGGTGATGAAGGAAGTCATCTAGGCTGTCACGTCCATGTTTCCAAACCACAAATGTATCGTCCACATAACGAAACCATACAGCGGGCTTCAGAACGGATGACTCTAGCGCTTTTTCTTCAAATCTCTCCATAAAGAAATTAGCAATTATTGGGCTGATTGGACTACCCATTGCGACACCTTCTGTTTGTTCGTAGTAATTGCCGTTCCATAAGAAATAGCTACCAGTCAGACACACTCGGAAGAGCTCCGCGATGTCAGGTGGGAATGATTCCTTTGATTAGATCCATTGACTCGCCTAGGGTACTCTCGTGAATAGAGATACCACATCGAAGCTTACCATGATGTCAGATGGTTCCAGTTTTATATCTTTTAGCTTTTGGACGAAATGCGTTGAGTCCTTCACATAAGAGTTTGTGTTGCCGACTTTCGGTTGTAGGATCGTAGTCAAGTATTTAGCTAAGTTGTAAGTAGGCGATCCTGGAGCACTCACTATCGGTCTAAGTGGGACACTAGCTTTATGAATTTTTGGTAGTCCATAAAGGCGTGCTGGTTGAGCTTCCGAGTTAATTAATTTTGATTTCAGAGGTTCCGGGAGTGAGGAGGCCTTGATGAGTCTGTTGGTGTTTCTGACAATTAAGGCAGTAGGATCCTTCTTCAGTAACTTATAAGTCTGGGGCTCCAGTAGATCCTCGATTTTGGACCTATAATCCTCAGACTTCATTACTACCGTAGCATTCCCCTTGTCTGCCGGTAAGACCAGAATGTCCTTGTCAGCATTCAGCGATTTTAGAGCCTGATGTTCTTCCCTAGACAGATTACTTTTTGGAGCCTTAGCAGTTCTCAATATGTTGACCGTTTCAAATCGGATTTCGTCTGCGATACTGTTAGGAAGGTTACGTATGGCAGCTTCTGTTCCGGCAATAATGTCTTCCACTGGAACCACTTTCGGTGTTATGGCAAAGTTTCCTCCCTTCAAGTAGCAGCACAGAGAAGTAGACCAGTTCCGGAAGAACTACCACCCGAACAAGCCACGCCCCCTCCGCCGACGCATAAATACGCGCTACGCCGACGCGGAGGCATCAGTCTAGTGTGAGCAATCGGAGCAAACACACCTCTGAAGATGCTAGCCACTCGTGCTAGCGAAACGTTAGGAAGCAATTCTAACCGACGACGGCCTAATAACCCGAAAAACCAAAATTCTTCAAACGATGGCCGCGAAAGCCTAAACTACTACATTAAACGGCTCTACGGGGAGGAGCTATTCAGATTGTACCAACGCCTGGACAAGACACGGAAGCGAAAAGCTCACTTGCTATCATCGCTTGCTTTTCTGTGCCGCTGCCGAGACCAAAACGTAATACCAGGATTTCTCAAAATGAAGAGGGTATTCTCATCTACTCAGGCAAATCGCCTTTACACCAGGATGGAGAAAAATTTTCTTCGTGAGAGGATTCATACATCTAGACGAGACTTAGCAAAGGTAGACAGGGAATTGATCGACCTATTTTATATCCTTACCGCCAACATGCAACCTGTAGACTGGGACAAGATTGACGGAATAACATACCAAAATATGCAAAATGAATTGGAAAGAACATCAGCTCGCCAGAAGATCAAATATGAAAAACTGCAACCAAAAACCAAGCCGGAATATAGGATATCTCTTGAACCTGCTCGAACCGTGGTGAATCTCACAGATAAGACCCTTACGACATCAGAAGTAACATTATTAGCGAAGGGAGGAAACTTTGCCATAACACCGAAAGTGGTTCCAGTGGAAGACATTATTGCCGGAACAGAAGCTGCCATACGTAACCTTCCTAACAGTATCGCAGACGAAATCCGATTTGAAACGGTCAACATATTGAGAACTGCTAAGGCTCCAAAAAGTAATCTGTCTAGGGAAGAACATCAGGCTCTAAAATCGCTGAATGCTGACAAGGACATTCTGGTCTTACCGGCAGACAAGGGGAATGCTACGGTAGTAATGAAGTCTGAGGATTATAGGTCCAAAATCGAGGATCTACTGGAGCCCCAGACTTATAAGTTACTGAAGAAGGATCCTACTGCCTTAATTGTCAGAAACACCAACAGACTCATCAAGGCCTCCTCACTCCCGGAACAT